ACTCTAGACAGCATAAAATACCTGGGAATACACCTACCAAAATAAGCCCAGAATCTATATAAAGAAAACCATGAAAAAAATATTAATTATTCATCGGTTGGCAGAGCCAACATAATAAAAATGACAATTTTGCCAAATTTAATCAATATATTCAGTGCCATCCCAGTTCAATTACCAAAAAATTATTTTACTGAGCTAGAAAAAATAATAACAAAATTCATTTGGAAGAATATCAAAGGAACTAATGCAAAAAAAATGTAAAGGAAGAGGTTTAGCAGTGCCAGATCTTAAACTATATTATAAGGCAGTAGTTATCAAAACTATCTGGCACTGACTAAGAAATAGAAAGGTAGATCAGCGGAACAGAATAGGCATATGATCTATAGCATCAAATGAATACAATTACCCAGTGTTTGACAAGCATTTTGAGTTTTTGGTACAAGAATTCATTATTTGGTAAAAATTGTTGGGAAAGATGGAAAGCAGTCTGGCAGAAATTGGGCATAGACCAATATCTTACACCATTTACCAAGATAAGGTCAAAATGGATACACGACCTAGATATAAAGAGAGATACTACAAGAAAATTTGAAGAACATGGAACATATTACCTATCAGACTTATGGATAGGTGAACAATTTATGAACAAACAAGAGACAGAGAGTATTGTGAGATGTAAAATGGATAATTTTGATTACACTAAATTAAAAAGTTTTTGTACAAATAAAACAAATATAGCCAAGATCAGAAGGAAAGCAGAAAACCAAGGGAAAAATTTATAGATAGTTCCTCAGATAAAGGTCTCATATCTCAAATATATAAAGAATTTTGTCAGTTCTACAAGAATGTGAGTTATTTCCCAATTGATAAATGGTCAAAGGATATGAACAGGCAGTTTTCAATTGAAGAAATCAAAACAATTTATAGTCATATGAAAAATGCTCTAAATCACTGTTGGTTAGAGAAATGCAAATTAAAACAATCTTGGATATCATTTTACACCTATCAGATTGACTAAAATGATAGAAGGGGAAAGTGACAAATGTTGGAGGGGATGTAGATAAATTGGGACCTTAATTCATTGTTGGTGGATCCGTGAGCTGATCCAAACATTTTGAATTTGTTTAGAGCCATTTTTATAGATATTTAGAGGGGTTTGGAGGAGAGCTCAAGCAAGTCACTGCTTTCACTCCGTTATCTTGGCTCCGCCCTGATCCAAACATTTTGAAGAGAGATTTAGAATTATGGCCAAAGAGTTATTAAACTGTCTATCCCCTTTGACCTAGCAAAAAAAAAATCAGGTCTGTTTCTCAAGATGATTAGGGAAAAAGGAAAAGAACCTACATGTTCTAAAATATTTATAGCAGCTCTCTTTATGGTAGCAAAGAACTAGAAATTGCTGGGATGGCTGACAATTGGAAAATGGCTAAACAAATTGTGGTAAATGTTCATGATGTAATAATCCTCTGCTACAAGAAATGATGAGCTCAATGATTTTAGAAAAACATCAAGAGACCTCCATGAAATAATCAAGAGCAAAATGAGTAGAACCAAGAGAACATCATATACAGTAACAGCAGAGTATTGTTTTATGAACAACTTTGAGAAACCAAATCATTCTATTATAAATACCCAAATTAACCTCAAAGATCCATTGAAGGAAGATGCTGTATGAATCCAGAAAGGAATATTGCTGTGGTGCAGGAAATTATGAGTTTGATTTAGAAAAACATGGGAAGACTTGGACTTACGAAGGAAGATGCTATTCACCTTTAGAGAAACAGATGATGAGAGGAAATAAGCATAGTACAGTCTTTGTTTTTGTTTTTTAATTAATTTATTTTGATTTACCAAAAATCACTTCCATATGCTTCCTCCCTCCCTCCCTACCACTCTCCCCAAGACAGTGCACAATCTGATAAAGGCTATACATACACGTTCCTATTAAACATATTTCCACATTAGTGATGTTGTAAGTGAGAATTAGAACTAATAGGAGGAACCACCAGAAAGAGGAAACAAAACACAACAGAAGAAAAAAAATAGCAAACAGTATGCTTCGATCTACATTCAAACTCCATAGTTCTTTCTTCTTTATGGATAGCATTTTCCATCACAAGGCCTTTGGAGATGTCTTAGATCCTTGTATTGCTGAGAAGGGTTAAGTTTATCAATATTAGTCATCACACAATGTGGCTGTTATTGTGCACAATACAGTCTTACATATAAGTGTATGAGTGTGTATGTGTGTATATGTGTATGTTTATAGATATCTATGTATATGTATATATAGCCATACTTAACAGCCTTCTTTAAGGTTGGGGTAAGGGAGAGAAAGGAAAAATAAAATAAAAAGTACACAGCAGAGAACAAAAGAAAACCAACAAGGAAGCAAAGAAAAGCTGGGCAGCTTTGAAAACCATGTGTAGTATTTATCATATAGATTTTCTTGAAATAGAAATTTATTGTTTTATGTTGAATCCTCTCTTATGGTCTGCTGTGTACATGGCAATGGTGTTTTTTTTTTCCTTTCCTGATTTTGCATGTAAGTGTAAAATAAAAAATTTGAAAAAAAAAGAAACATAGATACTGACACACTTAATATCTTATAGTTTTTGTTTAATTTGTTATTTTGCCTCTTTTAAAATAAGGATTTTTTAAAATCTGAAAAAAAAATGTAGTTCTAACCATGTCATCATGCTCCCCATTCAATAAATGTTAGTAGATCACCATTATATTTAAGATCAAATATCTATCACTTAAAGCTTTTCACAACCTCACTTTCCAGCCTTCTTACACATTACTCCCTCTACACACTCTATTGCTCAGCCATATTCAACTATTTGGTATTGCCTGCACAAGATACCCTAGTGCTTAATTCTGTGCCTATGCATTTGCTGTCCTCCATGACAGGAATTGTCTCTCTTAACTTTCCCCTCTTAGCATCTTGGACTCAACTCAAATATTAACTGTCCTTCCAGCTGATAGTGTCTTACTCTTCAATTTTACCTTGTATTTGCTTTACATGTCTAATGAATATTCCAATATACATGCACATTGTCTCTCCCGTTAGAATATAAGCATCTTAAGGGCAGTGACTTGTTTTAGTTTGGTTTTTGTACTCCTAGTATCTAGCACGGTGTCTGGCACATAAATGATGATTGACAATATTTATTGATTGAATTGTTCACCTATCAAATGGACAACTAAAATGTGTAGTGTACTGTGATAGGGGACATATAAAGAAAACGAACATTATCCTTGTCTTCAAGGAACTTAAAAGCTGGTTGTGGAAACAAGATAGTATATGTTATCATGTACATACTTACATGTTGTTTTTACTTTGTTTGTTACATCCCTACAGAATAATAGAATTTGAAAGCATCTAAAGACATGACCCTAGAGTGATGTCTCCAGTGGCACCCCCAACAATAGTCATCCAGGCTATGTGCTTGAGTATCTGAAATGCAACTGTTTTCACTGCCTTACCGAAGTGGCTAATTCTATTGTTCAATTAAACTAAAATCATCAAACACTTGTTAATTGTCCACTTTGCACAGACTACTTTTCTAAGTCCTTCCTGAGGATAAAAAGATGAAAAACAACATTGTTCTTGTTCTTAGGGAGCTTATTGTCCAATACAGGTGATACAACATGTACATAATTAATTATAACACAAGGTAGACCATGATAGAGGCAAAGGTAAGGTACAAACAAAATACTCTAGGAAAAAATGATGAGGGAGATATTTTAAGCTGTGGAGATCAGGGAGGGCTTCATGGTAGGTGGCACCTGAGCTAAAAAGGAATTGCATTCAAGAAAGGAGAGACAATCTATATTACTGCACAGAGATGGGATTGTTCCTAGTTTTGTCCTTGGATGGGCAAGCAAGACAAAACTAATCCCTGAGGATACAGTTCCTTCCCTCAGTAAGCTTCCAGTTGGGATTCTGGAGACATGGCCTCCAGCTTCAGTCAATCAATCAAGCATTGATTAAGCATGTCTAGATGCCAGGCGTTGCCATAGGTGTTGGGGATATAAAACAGAAAGTGGTCCCTTGACCTCAAGGAACTTGTAAGAAAGTCATGAGGGAGAAATTCTTTAAAAGCATGCCCTAAAAAGTTTGCTGGTCTCCACCTTCTCCTCCCTCCCTAGCCCTTCAGTCTGAAGGGAGAGATATGGTGGGCACATATATGGAAAGGATAGCAAACACAAAAACAGGAAGGAAGTGAATCCAGGGGGGAGCAGATTTAATTCTTAGCTATCCACAGAAGGCTAATTAAGCCAGTCTGGCTTTTCCTACTATACCACATCTGTTGCCTCCATGCAGTGCTTTTAGCAATGAGGTAGGTTCACCAACTCCCAGCACACCTTGCCTAGCACAATGATTTAAACATAGTAGGCATTGAATTCATGTTTGTTAAATTCAACTGAAGCTAATCCAAGTGAAATAAATTGATTCTACTCTCGGCAAAACAGAACTAGAACTCTGTTAGAGAGGGAAAAAAATCATAATCTTTTCAAAAGTCAAACTAAACTGAATTTTGATTATCCTTGAGTGTTGTGAGGTATAAAGAACATGCAACTTTAGAATCAGAGGATCCATAGACCAATCTGGCTCTCTGATATAAATCTGTGTGGCCTTACAACAAATCCCTTCCTCTCTCCGGGCCTCACAGTTTCTTCTAAAGAAAAAGGAGGTTAGGTCAGATGATCTCTAAGGTCCCCTTACAATTCTAAAACCTACTAGTCCCCACAAATACTTGGGAATAGGTTTTAACCAGCCCTGGAATACTATAGTTATATAGCATACAAGTCTTGGGATGGTACTAGAGAAAATGGAGCTCAGTGGGGTGGGTCAGGGAAAACTTTCTGGAAGAAGTAGTAACCCAAAGTTCACCCTAGGACTTTATAGTGGCCCAAGAAGGCGGTACAAACTTGGCATAGATGAGCCTAAGGGGAGAGCAGATATGGAAGAAGACCTGGATTTATCCACTTACAAACTGTGATGAAGAGTATGGACGAAGGAAGTAGGCAAGCTTCAGGGAAATCAGACTGTGGGTCACTGCAGACCATAGGCAGATGATTTCCTGGATTTCCTGGCAGAGAAATAAGTGACATTTAAAGAAAATTCCTCCAGGAAAAGAAAACATTTTTGAGGGTTTCTTTCTGGTCTCATCTCTGATTCCAGACCCATAGAATTCCTTAGCTGAGTCAGGGGGAAAATAATTTTGAATGAGGTTAGGGAATAGATGATGTAGGTAACCTAACAGCTCCTTCAAGTTCAATGTTACTTATGGATGCCAAGAATTATAGTATTGCAGGTCTAGTTAGGACTTATGAAAGTCCCTCCAGCCCAAACTCCTATCACAAAGAGGACTAATAATGATAACCAATATTTTTTTAAGATCTACTATGTGCTGGTAATGCAAATATGAAAAATTATACAATCCTTATCTTCAAAGAACTTATAATCTAATAGTGGGGAATTCAGCTTGTATATGAGAGGAGAATTTTTATTGATAGGATTACATATATTTCAGTCAGGCAATTATCCACCTTTCCCTTTTCTTTTTATTGATATCTTTGTTTTTATATCACTTTCATTCCCCAATATCTTCTTCCTCATTCTCCACCCCACCCCACCCTGACTCTGACAGGCAGATAGGTGGTAGAGTGGATAGAGTGCTGAGCCTAGAGTCTGGAATACTCATCTTCTTGAGTTCAAATCTGGCCTCAGACACTTATGACCCTGGGCAAGTCACTTACCCCTGTTGGCTTCAGGTTCCTCATCTGTAAAATAAGCTGGAGAAGGAAAGGTCAAACCACTCCAGTATCTCTGCCAAGAAAACCCCAAATGGGGTCATGAAGAGTCAGACATGACTGAAACAACTGAACTGAATTCCCCCTTCCCACTCCCATCAAAGAACTATCTTTATTATACATCCTTTTTTTAAAAATTCTCTGTCTGAATGTTTTAGAGATACATGGCCATGGCCCAAAGGATAGATAGGTGGCCCCAGGGTCAGGAAGAGGGTGGTTCAAATCTTCCCTTGGACATAAATCAGTCATAGAATCTTGTGAGAAGTCATTTAATCTCTTGGGGTCCCCTGCAATGCTCTGATACTGTGGAGTAGTAGCCTATGTGCATCGGTGGGGAGAGTTCCTTCCTCAGAGTTCCCTAAGCTAATGAAATCACAGGTACAGTCTAAAACAAACCAAAAGATAAACTCTCAAGAGATTCCAATGTGTTTATAGGATCCCTGTGCACCCAGTGTTTATAGGACATTAGCATGTTACATTTTATAGGGGAACAGAGGATGAGTGACTTGCCTAAGGTCCCACAGTATATTAGTGACAGAGGCAAGCCGGCCTAGAACCCAACAGAGTTAAGTGACTTGCCCAGGGTCACAAGTGTTTGAGGCCACATTTGAACTCAGGAGGATGAGTATTCTAGGCCCAGCACTCTATCCTGACTCCCAATCATTGATTTTCTATTACACTGCTGTCCAATTAAATCCCAACTACAGTAATTCAAGCCAGTTCCCTGGCTCGTTTACAATGTAATTGTTGTTCAATCATTTTTCAGTTGTGCCTGACTCTTCACGACCTCATTTGGGGTTTTCTTGGAAGAGATACTAGAGTGGTTTGCCACTTCCTTCTCTAGCTCAATTTACAGAAGAGGAAACTGAGGCAAATAGTGACTTGCCCAGGGTCACACAGCTAGTAAGTGTGTGAGGTGGAATTTGAACTCATGGAGATGAACATTCCTGACTCCAGGCCCAGAACTCTACCCGATGCACCACCTACTTGTTCTTCCTATACAATATCCCTCCATATACACATGTCTCCCTGTCAACCAGTACCCCAGCCTTCTCCCTTCTTAGGGCCAAATAATCCCTGCTGCTATAGCATCCCATGCTTTGTGGCTGAAATCCCAACTCAAAAGCAACCAGGTCAGAGATGAAGAAAAGGCTCATCCATTTGCCTTTTATTCCATGCTTAGGAATCTGAGGTACAGAGATCATGTGACTAACCTCAGATTGCAGAGCAGAATAAGGTCTATGACTAGAGGGATTGTCCCTAAGAAGGTATCTGGGTTTGTTAGTTTACTGTGACTTCCTTTCTGTCTGGAAAGAAGTTATCCCAAACTCCCCCTGCCTCCAAACAGGACAAGCCTCCCTCAGCTGCTTCTGTATATAGGCAGCAGGGTCCTGTCTAGTGATTCAGACACAGGGGAAAGTGAAATGAACTCCCTTCTGTACAATGAGCAATAAATACTGAATCAGGTGCTATTAAGAAATACTCTGGCAGTTGCCCAGTACTACCCTATTCTTCTTAACCTTCTTTCCCTTTTGCCCCCCCTTCCACAGCCCTGACCCATATATCTCCCAAGCTTTCTAGTGCCCAGAGGAGCTGATGACTTCTAGATATAGACAGGTCTTGGAAGAAGGAGAAGAAAACCTAAGCTGGGTTTGGAGATCCCACTTGCTTCAGTCCAGGGAGGAAGAAAGGGCAGGCTATGGGAACCTGCCTCAGGTAATGAGATGTTACCATGGTGGCTGTTTGGCGTGGGTATTTGAAGTTGTAGGGAAAGCCAACCTTGGATCCTAGAGGCAGAAGCTTAGAAAATCCAAAAAGGTGGATAGTTCAAAAATCATTACTTCTTGGCTTCAGCAAGCGTGCTGGCTGGAGCCCTGCAGTGTTGGAATGGCAGCTGGGGTTTGATGTTCTGAGAATTCCCAGGACTTCCCACCAAATAGCTATGACGAAAGAGGAACTAAAAGTCTGTTTACTAGCCCTATCCTGCCTCAGGCATCAGCAGTCAATAAAAAGCATTTTAAATGGACTATTCACATACATCACTTCATTCAATCCTTCACCACAATCCTGTGAGGCAGGTAGTGCTAGTGTGGGGGAGGCAGCTATAGCATGTCTGACGTAGTCAGCATAGACCTGAGCTCAAATCCAGCTTCAAATGTATATTAGCTGGGGTGACCGTGGGCATATCAATTAAGGTCTACAAGCCTCATTTTTCTTATCTTTAAATGGACTGATTTTACTGTGGTCTCTGCCTCATGGACTTGTGAGATCAGATGAGATAATGTATGGAAAGCACCAAATAAATGTCAGCTATTTTTAATAACTGAGGCTAAAAGTCTAAGTGACTTAGTACGTGTGCTGAGGCTGACACCAAGAAATCAGGTCTTCTGACTATGGAACTGTTCATATAAATGCCCTAAACACAGTGCTTTCTTTTAGGGAAGCACTTTCTTCCTTTCTCCCTTCCTTCTTTCCTCCCTTCTTTCCTTCCTTCCTCCCTTCTTCCCTCCCTCCCTCCCTTCTTTCCTTCCTTCTAAATTTGGAGTCAGGAGAATTCTAGGTTAGAATACATAACAGCTGTATGACTATAGGCAAACCATTTAACCCCTCTGAGCCTCAGTTTCCCCAATTATAAAATGAGGATAATACCATCTCTTGTACCTTCATTAGAGAGTTGTTGTGAAGATCAAGTGAGATCATCTATGTAAAGAGCTTCATAAACCCTGAAGTGCTATATAAATGTCAGCTATTATTATTTGCTTTAATTAGATTGCAAGTTCTATAAGTATAGGATCCCTGTCTTAGCTAAACTTTGCCATTTTTCTCAGAGACTAACACAATGTTCTGCATACAGTAGTTGCTTAATAAATGCTTGTTGAACAAGTGAATGAATCATGAAAAAACATACTGAGTATCTTTTATGCGTAGGGCAGCATAGTCATGATGGGAATGCAAAGAGAGGAAAGATACGGTCTCTGGAGATTACAAGCTCAAAGAGATTACAATTTAGTTGTGAAGACAGTACATACATTTCACAAGAGGCATTCATAATACAAGATGGCACATGCTAAGGGATGAATTATTGGTATGGGGAGTTAAGGGTCAGGGAGGTTCAGAGGAAGATCACCCACAATCATACAGTAGATAAAGACCTAATGAAGACTGAATCGTAGTATATGAAACCCAGAAGGGACCTGAGAACAAAGAATGCTGGAATACAGAGCTTGATATGTCAGGCCTGGAAGGAACCTTAGAAACACAATGTTTAGAATGCAGAAGAGGGAATGTCAGGAAGGGGCCAAACCTCCTCATTTCACAGGGGAAGAGACTGAGTCCTAGAGAGTTATGTGTTTTGCTCTAGTTCACAAATCAAATCTAGCAACAGAGCTAGGACTTCCTCGATCTCTTCTCTCCTGAGACTCATAATTTGGTGCTCTTTCCACTATACCCGGCTGATATGGAACTTGAGCTTGGTTTTGAACAAATGGTAGGATCTGGGCAAAGCAGAGCAGAGTAGGGAAAGCCTTCCATGCATGAGTAAAGGGACAGAATGAAGGAATGCACATGATGTGTTTAGGGAAGATTGACTGGACCCATTTGGCTTAAGCAGAAAATTTGCATAGGGGTAGAGTGGGAGAAGAGGTTGGGGAAGTAGCCTGAGAACAGATCATGGAGCTCTCCTACTGCCAAGCTAAGGAGTTGGCACTTTATCCTGTAGACAGTGGAGAGCCATTAAAAGTTTTGGAGCAAACATGGACAAAGTCTTTTTGGAGTGATGTGGACAAAGCTGTATTTCAGGAAGAATAACCTGGCAGAAGCTTGGATGGATGAAATCAGGAAGTGAGTGACTGGAGACAAGGAAACCAATCAGAATACTATTCCAATAGCCTAGACTTGAAATGCCTCTCAAAATTAGATTGCTCCATTCTGATGTTGATGGCATAATCTCTTAGCCAAGAAGAAGGTGAAGTAGACTGACAATGTGGTATAGAATCAAAGTTGGGATGATTGATGGAACCAGAATTGATGTAGTCTAAAGTTCACATATGTAAATAGGCAGCACTGAGTTTAAGAAAAAACCCCTGGCTTGGGAAGGAGTCAGGAGACTCAGGGTCCAGTCCTGGTCGGGCCACTAACTCGTGATGTGACCTTGGGCAAGTCACTTCACATCCTAAGGCCGAAGATTTCTCACCTGTAAAATAAAGGTTGGCCTTGATGTCTCTTCTAGACCAGGACCTGTGATCCCATGATTTGTAAAGAAAGAGGGGTTGGAAAA